AAAAAAAAAAAAAAAAAATAGAAGAAAAGCCAGTTTGTTTTGATAGTTTTTCTCGGAAAAGGATGCTGAGAAATATGAGCGTGGCCAATTCCTCTGTCACCTCAAAATTCCTGTAAAGGAAGAGGCTGACATGAAGAGGGGCCAGACGTGATAGCTGTGGTGACAGGGAACACRTCGTAGGTCGCYGAATGCCTTGGGGCCGATGCTCTTCCCATGGTGATTTCCACACTCACAAAGTTGCCAAAATCCTTTCTAGAAATTTCACTTGGGGGAATAACAAAAAAAAACAAAACCAACAACTTCTTTAGTGACACCCGTTCTAAGTATGCAACATCCAGCCTGCTTTATTTAGATTTTTCACAAAATATTTATCACTGCCATAGTGATATCTATCCTAAAAAAAGAGACGATGTTTCAGAGCAATTTGACCTTCTCTAGACCCTATCCAGAGACATCTCTATTCTTACACGTGTATTATTGGCAAATGTTTTGAATTTTTGAGTTTGTAGAGGAAAATGTTCAACATCTCAGGGATTCTTGAGCCATGGCAGACTGCTTTCCACCCACCACTGAGTAGGTTACCAGACAATACTTAATGTTTAGGTATCAAATAAGTCGAAACTATCTCTGGACCTTAACGTGCACTGAATTAATTACATTGCTCCTCTTTGCCTTTTCGTTATTCTGTTTATTATAAGGCAAAGCTTGCTGGTGGGGCAGTGYGTAAGTGGAAAATTTCCAAGGAACATCACTCACGGAGCATTGGAAGAAGAATTTCAGCACTGATGCTCCTCTAGGACATCAGAATCCAAAGGCATTGCTGGCATTCATCTTTTGGGTGAAACTATGGCTAGAGCTGTCTCAAAACAAAGAATGCAGCAAGGCTCTGCAGGTGAGTAATTCTGAAATTAACTGATTTCATGATGATATAACCCCAAGGTTAGACATTTTTTCCCTTGAGGCTGCTGGCTGAGCCYTGCTGGGTGCTGTGGAACGCCAGCAGTGCTATGAATATCAGGAATGCTAATAATGGGGTCCCATTTCTAACTTGGGAACAAGGGTTTCATTGCGTGCACATAACTTCCACGGGCAAGCATTCCTCTTGTCTTGCAGGATGCGGGGTGTGGCTCTGCGTGAATAACCCCGGTCCTTTAAAAGAGTCCTGGAAGACAGTCAAAGAATTGTTTCTTTGCCAATAATCRTAGAGTGGGGAGGCGCCAGGCTCAGGTTTTAATCCTGCAAATGATTCCAGTGCAGGGAAGGAGGTAAATATAGAGTGCAATCCGAGATCTGGGTCTTCGTTGGGTTTGGAGTTGTTTGCTGGGGGTTTTCTCCCTGTGCTTTTCCTTTTGCGTTTTCTTTTTTTTGGTTTTTTTTTTTTGTTTTTTTTTTTTTTTTTTTTTAATTTCACTTTTTTGTTTTTTTTTTAGTTTATCTATTTTTATTTTCTCTGGACAATTCATAGTGTTGCTTGTTACTGAGGCACTAATTGACTCTGGGGTGTTTAACATGCTCGAGCCAATAGCGGAGGTCAGAGGAGCAACATCCAAAGACTGCACAGAGAGCATCTGCATATTTGATTTTGTTTGCACCAGATTCCTGGCTCTCGCTGTCTTAGGGACACCCAAGAGGGTCGCAGTTGTCATAAGCATGTCTTAAGTGGGTGCTTCAGAGCTGCCCTGGCGTGGTACCGAGCCAACCCAGCAGCTTCCTTGCGCAAAGTATGCGCGGCGGAAGAGGGAGCGAAGTGGGAGGAATGCGTGGCATTCCCCTCCTTCACTCTGGCACAATTGTCCTGGTGGTCCTGTTTCAGCTGGTGGAATCCAGAACAGCCCCATGGCTGTGCTAGGGCACGTGAAACTCCTTGTTCTGACCCTTATATGGCACAGGATYGCAGCCTGACTGGCAGGGTTGGTTTCCAGCTCTTTTTCCTCTTTGCTCAGCCGCAACCAGCCCATTCCCATGTAGGAATCTGGCCCTATATTTCCAAACTCCATGCAAATATGGTAATATCAGCTAAACTGGCATTTGATTTCGCTTCTGTATAGTGTGTCTTTAATATGATTACTACCCTTAACATTTAAAGGAACTTTGACAGTTATGTAATCCCTTCAACATTTAAGTACAACAGGAATTTATTATTAAGTGCAGTGGCTGGAAATGGAGCRCTTTTTTCATTCACACTATAAACAGTTATGTTGGATTAGTAATCCTGCTTGTCAGAGTGGTTCACTGTTTGATATTAATCAGTGGGTTTATGAAAGGTGCAATAGAAGGCAGAAGTGAGCAGTGAAGAAGCTGTAAACCTTGGTTCTATAAAGTCAGACTCTATCTAATGCTCAGGTTCACAGCGTTTTTTGCAGTGACCTTAGACTAAGGAGAAAGGAAGTGCTGCATTATGGTAAAGGTGCCTCTATGGTTTGATGAACCTATATTTAGTTTCTTGCTGTACAAATGCAATAGCTGGTAGYGATGAAAGCCCAGACGTTTGAGAACATTTTTCGGTTGTTTTGTAAAGAGTGTGTTTTTCAGATTGTTGTGTAGATYGAGCATGATACAACCTAGCAAAACACTTAATGATCAAATATTACATGACAAAATGAATAGCATCTCCTTTTGGTGCTTATCCACTATTAAAATCATGTGCAAATCACTTCACCTGAATATTTCTACCTAATTTGTGGGTTGTTATCTCTGAGCTACATAATTAATTTTTGTATCTCACAAACAGTGTTGCACTGCAGGTTTGTTGTTGRTTTTTTCCCTTTTCTTTTTAACACTTCTGAGTCCCTAGTACATATTGATGCAGCACGTACAGAGGAGCCAGGTCCTCTGGTTGGAAATGTCATCCTGCAAGATCTTTAGATGATCAAAGTGACAATGACACCATTGTAATGCAACATGGCTTCAAACAGCGCGTAATAAATTACCATGATTGGTTAATGAACATACATGATTAATGAAACAAAATATAGACATATAATAAAGGCTTTTCTTGTAAATGTCAGTCATCTGCATTGTCCAAATGCTTCTGGATATGTCCCTTATACACCTTGCAGAATAGTTTGACATGTGTCTATATGTATATATACAGCAGTGAAATCAAAATACAATGTATAACCTATCCTCTAGAAGTGAAATTAAACTTGAATAGCATATTTGACAGGTTGGTTTCAAGTTATTTTTTACCCACTTCTTTTTGAAATGTCTCTTGTTACAGCTTTGTTTTGGCATTGAAAAAATTAAACCTTCATTGAATAACATTGGACTTTGTTAAACTATGTATATCTTTCACTGATGGCTTTTAAAGCAACGTGGCATTAGCTTTTTAAATTCTCAGAGCTAAATTTAGCGTTTGCTTGTGGTAGGATCAAAAGTGTCAAAAATCTGCATCACTGCCTCATTATCAATCACGGGGATATTTTGGGAGAAGCAGTTTGATTTGCATCGTCGGACCTCCTACCTAGCATCACAGAAGGCTGTGCATCAATAAAATTAACTTTTGTCACTCAAACCAAATTGGGYTGAGGCGCCCCTGCCAGAACAGCTCATGTGCGTGCGAGGAGCGCGGCTCATCCCGGAAACGCTCAAACCTTGTTTGGGAAGGCAGAATAAATTAATTAATCCACTTCTGGGTGCTGTCCCAGAGCTTGCTTTATGCCTTTATCCAACAGGAAGGTGGTGGAGGCCCCTCACAGAGGGCCAGCAAGATGAAAAGTTCGGCTCCAACCAGCTCAGCACAGGCTGGACCAGATCCTGCCCGCTCCATCCTGGTGCATGGATCCCTACCCAGCTGTGCCTCACCTGGGAAGCCTCAGAGCCGTGATTTACAGCTCGACCGCCCTTTGCTCAGCTCCCTGTTGCTCTGCAGGAAGTTTGTGCAGCTCTCTGCAGAGCACAGCGTACCTCTCATCTCCTGCCAGCTCCKCAGAGCAGAGCCGTTCCCGACGGCAGCATCGCCACCCTCGTCGCCTCCTCCATCGCTCRCCGAGCGGGAGCTGCTGCTCTTCCAACATCTGGAGGTCTGCTCTGCAGYGTGGGGTGCCTGGGGTTCACATGCTCCCCTTCTCCGTGGATCCAGCCCCAGCCAAGCTGGGAGCCTTTCCCAGTGAAGCCCAGCATGGCTAGCTGTCCTTGAAGCCAGCGGGCCACGGCAGCAAGGCAATAAAAAGACAAAAAGTCACAGCCTTTTTCAACATCTATTATTTTTTTTTGCAGGAGGTTGTATGTAGCAGAGTGGAGGGAGGTGGATGTGTCCTGCCTGGATGCATCCTGCCTTGCAGCCAACCCACGCAAGAGGAAGAGCTGACTTTTTTGGGGCCTTTTGGCAAAAGAAACAACTGTGTTAAGTCTTACCCATTCTGAAACACTTTGTTTGGATTTAAGATAAAAGTAAGTGTGTGTTCCTGGGCATCAGTTTGTAAATAACAGATCATCATCCAGTAATTGCTTTTTTCAMCCCTCCTCTCCCAAATTTCTTTCAGATGCTCAGCACTGTGCTGTAATTATACATGATATTAGCTGCTCAAACTATATCCTTAATACAGCCAGTCTTCCTTCCTGCTGAGAATCCAACCATAGCCCATTGATATGGCCCTCATCCATATTTACTGATGTTGCTATTCTTTGAATTCATGTTGAAGAAGAGTAGTTTTCTGTGATTCTGAGGTTTTGGTTGGTTTGTTCAATGTTTAAGCTGTTCTGTAGCTGAAGTTTTCCCCAGGAACCAAAGAAACCACTGAGCTCACATTTCCCTCAGGAAAAAGGTAACAATTTATGGAGAGACTGCAAAAAGGCAGGATTAGGGGATTTTAGAAAATGTAAACCTTCTCCTYTTTGTGTTGTACAGGCCTTTCCCAAGATGTCATTCCTAAGGAAAACGTGCTACTGTAGCGTAGATGGATGAAAAGTATAAATTCGAGTTTGAACAAAGTCAGTACACGTGCACTCTTCATCATTGAAATAATTGTTTCAGCATTGTCTGTGAAACAAATATTTAGACTTTGATCTCCTTTTAAAGCCAGATAGTCCTTGAAAATTTTCCTAAGCTTTTTCCCAATTTCCTGAGCCAAGGAAAGGATTTTTCAAAGCCTAAGTCATCTTGTTTTATCTCAGAGGAAATGTTATTTTAGTGTACCTGGTGAGGCCACTGAAATACTAGGAAATCTCAAATGCTCGCTTTTGTGCAAAGATTTCTGAAAAGGGTAAATCCAAACAGGACAAAATAATTTATTTCAAAGCCTTAAGCAAATGAAATATACGGATTTGCACTGTCTTTTCAATAATAYTCTTCAAATTCTAATTAACAAGTAAACCAGGCCACATGCAAATTCAAAATGAAATTTTATTCAATTTTATCAAATGAATGGTGTGGGACATGAAAGGAAATAATCTTAAAAATATCAGCAGAACGCTAACTGGTAATAATGCTAATTGACTTCTCTTTGCTCCCATACTGTTGTGGGGGCTTGGACCAATCATTTGGAAAGAAATAGTTGGACTTGAATGAGTTTCAGTGTGCTGGGCGAGAAATTGCTTCAAGAGGATGAACTATTTCATGGCAATTTCTGAGCCAAAAYATTAAGAATGACAACATTTGGTAAACCAGCTTTCATCTTTTCAATGCTTATAAAAATCAAGCTTCAGTTTGACACTACAGAAAGAATTTTTTTTCCTAAACTTTTTAAAATTTTAAATTTCTTGTTAAATTAATTGTAGGAAGAAAAGTGGGTTGCTCCATTTTAGTAAAAACTTGGTCCTGGCCTAGGTCATTGTGGTTAACCATGGGATGAGCTCTGCTGGTTCTTGGAACCAAAGATGGAATTGTGGCATCACCTGGAAACACGATTTAAAACTGAAAGYAAATAAACTGTGAAAAAATCTAATTCAGAAGACAAAATTAATTAGTAGGAATGCAAGCTATCAAAGCATCCATAAAAMCAGAAAAGCCMCCCCAGTTCTTTGAAGCAMGCAGCCCCTTCCTTTTCCTTTAGTRTTTACCCTTTAAAAYACAAGTTGAGTAATTTCTGATGTTTGTACGCAGTGGTTTTTTTTCCCTTTAAATTTATTCCTTTGGGACTGACTCCATGTAGCCTCTCTGTCCAAAAAGTAATTGTAACAGCACCTAATTTCTGTTTCTTCAAGGTTAAGAATATCCATAGGTAACCATTTGGGGCATATTTATTCAAAGGTTAGAAAGTACACCAAACTGTTGTCTAGTGTAGACTTTATTTTAGGAGCGAACATAAACACGAAGAAACTATAATCCTGGTGTAATGTAGGAATCTAATTAAGACTAATGAGGCAACATTAAATTTAATGTATGATGCATTTTATATGCCTTACCATTAGAGCTGCAGCAAGCTGTTCGTCAGAGCGTCGAACTTTGGTGAATAAGCCCCTCAAGGCATTGTTAAACAATCTGGGCTCAGGCCTTCTCCTGCCCATTAGGTTGTGTTGGGCTTGGAAAAAATCTAGATATAAATGGAAATTTGGAGGGGGGAAAGGAAAAGGGGGGAGGCCTCAAGAAGTTCTGCCCATSTTTGAATGGCTCAGCAAGCTGATAAAGAGGGAAGATGAATGGATGGCTGCGTGTGACACCCTGGAGGAGGTKCCAGGCTGGGACAGAAGGGAGGAGGGCTGGGTGTAATGTGTGAGCTGCTGTTTGAGAGGCACCTGGAGCAACGGGAGTGGGAAAAGGCTGGGATTTAACTGACACAGTTTATCAAGAAGAATGGGCATGGTGATCATTGTTTAGCAGGGAATTAATAGCATGGTTTATTGTGATTTTTTTTCATTTTTATTAAATTTGTGAAGKTCAGTAACTTCTTTATATGTATTTAACTGTGCAGAAAAATAGGCGTATAGTCCAGACAGACACCTCCCTGTCCAGATTCCTTCCTCCCAGTACAAAAGAAGACTCCTCCGACAATATAAACAAATTTTTTAACAATGATTTATCATTTAATCCTTCATAGATTCTAAGTCCCATTTCTTAGAGGKATTTAAGATATATAGATATTCCWCTTGGGGACAYRGGTTGGTGGTGGGCTTGGCSGTGATGGRTTAAYRGTTCYRYTTGATGATCTTAGAGGGYTTTCCCAACCTAAATGATTTTATATTAGCTTTAACATGCAGGGAAGTGTACAGGATACAATGAGGYTAAAGATGAATTTGAATGAAGWTTTGGTGTCAAGGAATGGAGAGATTTTTGGAGGAACATGTAATGAGTTGGCTTTGTGGGTTTGCAGTACAAACTGATATTGCGGCGATGGGTCGGAAGTGCAGGCTGAGCTTGGACAAATCCTTGGGCTCTGTTGTTCATTGGTGGCTGCTGTGAGACTGGGACAGCCACGAGCAGAAGGTGAGGCAARGAGGAGTTGTTTGGTGTGGGGAGAGGGATGGGGAGGGCCGGTGTCAAAGTGCACTTCAACCCTGCTGCTCTGAAAGCTGAGTTTCAGCCTACTACATCCTGGAAATTCATTCCAGTTTATATTATTGCATGTGTTACTGATGGCTTCAGTGTTTGAGACTTTGAAGTATTTCATCTACACATTAAATTGGAATTTTTTTTCTTTTTTCTTTTTTTTTCCTGTGGAATATAGCCATGGAAACCTGTAGTCTGTACTGGAAAATAAATGACTGGAAACGTTCCTCGGTGACTAACTTGCTACAAGACATTATTGTGAGTGCAAACACCAAGTTATACTTTTGACAACAAACAAATGTCATGTGCTGGGCTGGAATTAGGGATTCAGCAGCGAGGCTGGTCCGAGGAGGAATTTGCTGTCAGAATGACTGGCAGTGGTGCAATGGGAACAGCAAAGGTACCTCTTGCACAGTTTTGGGCTGGGGGAATGAGTAATTCCTTGCAGGAACATCAGAGAGCACCATGAAAGCTCAGCTGGGGGCAGAAAAGAAAACAATTCTGCCAGAGGGGCTTTGGGGCGGCGAGAGGAGCGACGTGCTCATGAGTGTTTGGGGATTGACCTCACTCAGCTGCTGTGGGACTGTGGGTGGGGGGCACGACTTCAGGGCCAGCAGATGGAGGATGATGCTGAGAGTTGTTCCAGCCCCCTGGTGCAYGGGGGACATGCTGGGACCACCCCATCGTACCTGACCTGGCTGCTGGAGAAACAAAAAGCTCATGTAGGGGGKTGGTTTTCCACCAAAACCTTCTCAATTTCCCTTCCCTAACCGTACATCTGTACAAACCTGAGGGGTGTTTGTGCTCATTCCCTGTTCAGTGCTGAACTGAAGGTGGATGGAGAATGGATTTAAACAGGGAGATGTGAGGGTTTATGGAAGCAGACAGCTCCTGTGACCCCTCCATTCCTCATCCCCTTGTGCTTTGCGCTCATCTATCCATAGAAATAAAACCCCAGCAAACCGCAGAAAGTGCAAATTTATTGCTAAGGGAGTTATTAATTTTATTTTCATTTTATTTTTCCTTCTCCAACATACTTCTCATTTCATTAATGCCAGTTCCTGATCTTTCTTGTGACTGAGCTAGAAGTATGCACGTTTTTCAAAGAGCGTGTATAGGTCATATTTTTCCCTTTAGGATTTAATTTTTTTTTTTTTTTTTTTTTTGAACATGTCACACTCGGCTCAGCTTTTGCCAGCTGGGTTCTCTCTTCCTGTGTTTGGATACTGTGGATCATGGTTCTGGGGTGTCCTTCCTGATCTGTGTGCCCCACTGGGTTTTTTAACATTCAGATTTAAGCACATGTTGCACCCAAAACAATAAGGGCTAAGACATTTGCAAGGCTCCTAAAATCCCACCACTTGGTATTTAACCCAGTTCTAGGGAAAAAGCAACAGATAAACCTACCTGCCTTTCCCTGTTGTGTGTGAGTGTTGTTTGGATYTAGGTCAAATTCCTCGAATGAGATAAACATCCTTTTTATCTCAATGTCCTGTTGCAATTGGTTTTTCCTTTAGGAATGGGTTCTCACCCTCCTCTGCAGCCAACTTCCTTCTGCTCTCCCACTGAAACTGCGGTATTACCATAGCTTGGGATTTCTGTCTGGGATGTCAGGACAAACAAGGGTGGTGCAAACCTTGGGAAGTGTTTGGTCTGCTAGAAAAGCACTCAGATGAGCTCCAAATAGGAATCATAAATTGTGCAGGGATCTGGTGGCTGTCAGAAACCCTTAGTTCTATTTACTGCYGGCGTGGCCACGATGTGGTGGGAACTGCTAACTTTCCTGGTGCAGTGTTTTTCCTGCTGGGGTGTGGGTTGTGTTCYCAAAATCCATCTGGCCATTGCTTGTTTCCCCACCTCAACAAGCAATCAAGGTGGTTTTTACATAACCAGCCTTCTGATGGAGAAAAGAGGTGATTCTTGCCCAAAATTTGTTGCAGGYTTTCCGACATCCCTGCCCGTGTCGGCGCTGAGCTGGCACAGGGAAGTGTTGGTCCATGTCTGCTCCCTTGAACCTCTTCCCTCTGCAAGGAGTCTCTTTTTAAATGCTTTAAAAAAGTGATGGTCTGGGAGAGAATGATCCTCCTCACCTCCTCAATAGGTAAATTGCCCTTTTAGAAGAGTGATCCGTGCTCCTGTCCTCATTTTAAAGAAAAAAAACAAAAAAAAAAAAAAAAAAAAAAAAAAAAAAAAAAAAAAAAAAAAAGCAGAAAAGAAAAAATAATCTTCCAGGGACTTTGACTTAAGCAAAGGCACTTTAGAGTCTTTTTCTAATGTCATTCTAAAGTTAAAAAACAATTTGACTTCAAGGGAGATACGGCCCAATTTTTTAAAAACTTAATAGGATTAGTCATGGGAACTATTTTTAGCAAAAGTTCAACTTTATCCATGTATTTTAATGTGGGAAAAGTGTGTCCTTTTCCCTCTGCTAATGTTTGATGTATTCCAGCCCTCCTGCGAGTGTGTTTGAGTATCTTAGGGGCTCTGGAGTGGAGGAGAACTTCCTCTCGGATTCTCTCTGTTTTCTTTCGTGAAAATGACATTCCTAAGCTGTTTCACTTTCTGACAGGAAATGGAGCCTTGCCAAAAATGATTAAAGTCCAAGAAAGCATAACAGTTCCAAAGCTGCAGCAGTTCTTTAGGAGTCCCGAGTTTGACATTGTGTCAAACAAATGTGAAATATTGTTTAATAAATTTGAATAATACAGGGAAAGGGAAAAATGGTTCTTGGCTTATAATGCCGGCGCTCTTTATTAAGTCTGTAAAGGCCTGCCTAGCTCTAATAAATTGAAATATATACATAAATATACTTGTGCATGGATAACAGTTTAATATTGTAATATATAATGAACAGCACACATGCACCCCCCACAYGCAGACATTGATTTATTGGTGCTATGGCCATATATATATTGATATGTGTGTGTGGACTCCCTCACAAGTTTGTACATATTTATACACGGAATTACCATTTGCAGGCAACTCCTGGGCCTGCTTCACATGAGAAATATCATAAGTGTTATTCATAAGGTGTGATGTGCCATTATGACTTTGTAAAAATACTAATCTAATGCTAGATAAAATACAATTGTTAATGGTTTCTCAATGGCTTTTAATTCAGTGTTTGTTTAAAGGAATTATTGTGAGGTCTTTGCTTATGCCAAATGACRCCTTATCATATAATTCCAGCGTTGCTAGAAGGGCTGTGATGAGGCTCATGAAGCAGTGGGAATTCTGTGGCACCCAAGAGCCTGGCTCTGCCACCTCTTCCCATTTAACAACTCCCTCTGCCAGAAGGGCTTCCAGCCACTGAGAGTTTGACATTTTTCAATATGAGGGTATTAACACAGCAGCCCCAACAAAATGAGCGAGACTTCTAAGAAATTCCTGTGCTGTCAGCCCTGAGTGTGAAAACGTCCTGCCAGGCTCCAGTGGTCCAAAGGTTACGTCTCAAAATCTACCAAAACCCTTCAGCATTTGTAAGTTGGCTTCCAATTTTATTTTGGATTTTGGTTGTACTGAGTTCACTAAAATCACATTTTTAAGTTGCTCTCTGGCCAGAAGACCAGGAATTTCCTTTTTTTTGTCTTGATTTTAATAGAAAAGCKGGATTGCATCATCACTGGATTCCAGGAGCTCTGAATTTTAAAATTAATCTAATGACTTAAGGCTCAATAAAATCAGGACTGTTGGCAACTCTTCTAGAAAYCATGAAAAGTTGCTTTGTTGGTTCTTGCAAGAAAACTTCACTTGTTTCCCCTCTGTCAGATACATTACTCCTTCACCAAAATACATCAAATATTCAGGAACTTATAAAATAATAAAAATGTTCTCCTGACACGCTCTCGAARGCAAAACATTCTTTAAGTGAGGTGCGTTTCAAAGCCAGGCTGTGGGGAAGGTTCCTATTTTTCATTCTTTGTAAGGAACTGCTGTGTTTTTTTTTTTTATTAAAAGGAGCCCTCTCTAATAGTTTTTCTAATGGCATTTCAGATTTCAAGTGGGTGAAGTTGAGCCGGGACTGTCGGTGCCGTCATTCAACGAGGACAGCGATTCGCGGCTACTTTTTCAGACGAGCTAAATTGATCAGACAAGTCAGTCAATGTCATTGAGCACTATTTGTCACTTCATAAGCAGCTACAATCTGCTGCTCTATAAATGCAGAAGGACCGTCGAATAAATCACATCAACCRGTGGGAGTAGATAGTGTCCCTTCATCCATAATTGGAGCGGTCCTCTCCTGTCACATCCGCTCATTCGCCGCGATTCCGGCRCGGATTGACACTGACGAAGAAAGAGCAGCCGCTGTCACAGGAGCTGGAGTCTGTCTGCTGCTCTGCTCTCCCCACTAATAGATATCCATCATAATATTGTATTAACATCACAAAAAATCAGACTTATAGCTCCGCTACCCGCGTGTATCGATGACATATGTAGGGGTTTCTTCTGGGCTGCGGGRAAGGCTGATTGATGCAAAGGGAAAGCTCGTGATTAAAACCGCTTTCCAAAGCCATCAGCCACAGGAATATTTACTGCTGTGTGTGGTGCTGATTTCACAGACAAAAGTATAATTTATAATATATATAAAGAAAAAAAAAATTAGGATAGGGGGAGCACGGTTTGTTGTAAACAGACCTTCTGGAAATCTGTTATTTGCTGGTGCAGGATATGTTATGGAATTATTCCTATTAAGTGGTTTTATGGTTATATAGTTACCTAAGTAATTAAGGAAGTGAAACACCTTGAAAAAATATTATTGTCTCCTTAGCACTAAAAAAAACCAAAAAAGCCCCCCAAACTTTTGTCTGGTACCTGGTTTGGCATATATGTGTTTTCAAAGTGAACAGATGATATCAGAAGAGAGTAATTATTACAAAGGTGTGCCAGGTGATGAACTTTTTTTCCTGGAGAAATGCTGKGTGGTTTCTACTAGGAATATGTTAGATTAATCAGCTCTCAGTCCTGGAGAGAAATCACAGTGGAATACCCAAAGTGCTGTGTAGTCACGTGTAAATCTCTGACAACCTGGAGGCACGGATCATTTGTTCAGTGTTCGGTTCCAACAACAAGCTCATGCAGGAAAATACCTTGTTTGCTTATAAAAAGATTGCAGCTGAATATATAATTGCTGAGAATGGAGCATGGGGATCCCAGTGCTCCAGGATGAGGATCTGGATCCTTTCTCTTAATTTTGGGGGGGAATAAGTCTGAAGTCAGTTTTGCCTGTGTGTAAACAAGGCTTCACATTGCATGTCTTGTGGGAAAGTAGTGAAATGTTTTCTTTTGAAAGGTGCTCGGTGTAAATGTCATGTTCCTGGCTGGARCCCTTGCTGGGCCCACAGGCAAAGCCTAATATCAAATGACTCCTGCAATTTTCAGTCTGGGACGTCTCTTGATCCGTGTGCACAGAGGATGAGCAATTTCTCCTTTCTGTGTTGGCTTCTTTGCCTCTTGGTGCAGAAGCTGTCCTGAAAATGTGCCAGGAACCTCAGTCATAGGTAAGCAGCAGAAATTATTTGATCTATGAAAGACTTAATTCTGTTAATATTCATATAAATTCCGCTAGAAATACAGTTCAAAAGAAAACTCAAAGCAATAGATCAGAGAAGTATTCATCACTGAATACAAGCCTTTGACTTGTTTTTAGATTAAAATAATAGAAATGTTACGCTTAAAACCAAAATGTGAGACAAGTCCACRTGCACTGGAGAACTGAACAGCATCCAGAGGAGGCAGCTTACACAGGAGCACATTCATTGTCAACATCTGATACTGAAAAGGTCAATAGTTAATTAAATAATCCATCACCTTAGGATAGAGAGCCRTCCTCACTTCTGACAATCAATGGCAGAAATATTAAAAGGTCAGAAAATGAGTTACTATATATTGTTTTTTCTTACTGTGTGTTATAAAGATGTGGCTTTGGTTGAGTGTTGTGGGCATGAAGACAGGTGGGAAGAAATATTAGCTGTTGCCCAAATATTTTTTTAGATGCTCTTTTACCAGGCTTCTTTATGTGTGGGCTTCTGGATCGATGGGCCTCAAAGATGTAGTAAACTTTTACAACGAAAATTTAAGACTATCTCACAGAATTTATAACATTCTCTCTTTAATTATCAGAGTGTTTTCRGGAGTGTTTTTCTCCCGTGCTGCTTGAGGTTTGTACTGGGATAAACTGGGTGAGAGTTCTGATGTTCAGGTTTTGTTTAGGTATAGGGTGCAGCTACTCTGGGAACCCAAGAGGCAGATTTTTGGTGTGGATTTCCTAGATCCAATGGGTATAGCAGGGTAAAAAAAAATTCACTCAACGACTCCTGTGTCTGTTCCTGTGCAAAGGATCCTGCGTGTATTCTGCCAGGGCATGGTTTTTACCTGGTTCCAGTGTACTTCCCTCTTTTTCCGACAGTACAGAAAAAAAAAGAAGTATTTATTACTCCTCTCTTTGTTTCTAAATTTTCTTAATTTTACTTTCCTGGTACGTAGCTTTTACCCTGAGTGCAAAAGCCACCGCACTGAATTCCGGCAAGTGTTATATGATTATTTTATCTCTCACTATAAAGAGTTCTGAAAGACTTTGTGTGAGAGGCAATATAAAAATAAATTGAATTGAACTATGGCTTCACCTTCCCACTTTTTTAGTGGAGAAACCTTTAGAGCAAAAACTGCAATATAAGGACAAAGGAGGAGATTAAGGCTGTGTCATGAAAGAGGTGACGCTGGGTGACAGGTCCGACCCTGCCTGAGCAGTTTGTGGGTTTGCAGTCGGCTGTGTATTAATTAGATTTTAAGCATGTTCACAACTGGGGAAAAGCCTGTTTGTGTTTTTAGTGGGAAGGTTATTTTAAGCCATGAGAAAGGTATTAGGTATTATCTGCGGTGGTGCATTTATATAAACAAAGGTCTACCTGATGGTTGTGCAAACATCTGTTCTGCTCTTACCCAACATCTCACGGTTCATTAACACTTACCCTGTTGGCCTCTGAAAGGCCTCTTCTGGAAGCACATAATCTTACTCACAGATCCACAGTTGCAATAATTTGACTGTTAAAAGAAAATATT